ATAAATGTAACAATTGTCATAAGAATCGAATTCCCTTTGTATCTGGGAAAATATTAACCATACAATATTCTTATGAGTGAAGTCGTAAAAAAAATCGTATAACAAGGGGTTAAGACTATCAAAATGTTTTTTTTCACCGTTACACTGGTCCGACCCATTAATGCCCGCGTGATTACGATCGATCCGGAAGACGTTCGCCGCTTCCGGTGCAACTGACACTTCGCATTTGCAGACTGACGCGAGGCGACCTTCGGCGATGTAACCCGTATATAGGATGCGCACGCTCGATTGCCCATCGGATTCCAGCGATTCATGGTTCGATCATCAATAGGCTATATGCGGCCCTTTGACACGTCGGGCATGTTATCAACGTGTGCCGCGCGCGCGACTGTGGTACCACAAAAGGTCGACTCCGGTCTTGCCAAATTTCAGGGTTTCCGGTTGAAAAGCTCCGCGTTTCGAGCCAGCCCGGGGAATGATGATCGTGTCACGACTTCCTCCGCGCTGTTTCCGCGCGTAAATACGAGCATGGGAATATATATCTGGACCCCAGAATGTATTAAGTCCACTTTTTTAAGAACCTGACATTTTACACGTTTCCCGAATCTAATTTTTCACTTTTTTCAATGGTAAAGATTATTATTTCATTCTAACTTGTTTAGTTATTATAATAGTGTAAACATGATATTAAGTCCGTATAGGGAATTTACTGTAATGTTCACCATTTCTACACATCGACACTTGACTTAAGTCTATTCAGTAGTTCTAATGTAGCGATTGTTTCTCGTTGAATTGTTAACCAAACGGTTCCACAGTTACAAGGTTTTTGTTCCTTTGATTCGATCTCCTGTATAGTTTGGAAAGTGTGACTTGATACACGCTGACTCTCGGGTCCAGATACATATGTATCGAGATCACGTTAAAATTTTCGCTTCGAAACGATTCCGTGTTATCTATAATTGAACAACTGCCAAGTGTATCGTGTGCTTATTTATCATAAATCGGATAAAAAATGAAATTCTATACGAATTGAAATATTAGGTTTGTGTTCTTATAGAAGATAAATACGTAGTTATCAACGTTAAAATACTGCTTCTGTCGCATATCTTTTATTTGCGTCAGGCGATATTTGATATTTATATTCAAGACACGATGTTTCATATCCCGTCGCACGTTTTTGCAATATGACATCGACAGCGTACACGGCATTTCTCATGAGGATTTTAGAGCGAATTCAACGGAACATCATAGATAATTCTATAGGGAATCTACTAGATTGTACCGTATAGAATTGCCGTTTTGTACAGATCGATATAGAAACACTTGTTTTTGAGAAAAGAATGTTTGCACGATTGAAATATTCATCGTGACGATTAATAGCGTTCTTCGTACAAGATATTATCCGATACTTACACTAAAAATCTAAAATTCACACCAGAGAATAATGTCTTGATTACGACTTAACCCGCTCACTGCATCTTTTTAGTATCTTGGACAAAAAATTTTGTTATAAAATCAAGAAACAATAATCGTTTTAAGATCATTTAATACATTTTTGAAAATACTTGTATTGCTTTTTATTTTTATTTTTTTAATCAATGTGTTTGCTCACAATAAAAAACGATACTAGTAGTCACAGAACAACCATTTTTTCTAAAAGTAGGCGTCCACTAGGGGACAAATGCAGTTAGCGGGTTAAATAAAACGAACCATATTCATGTTTGTTACATCCAATTTGAAATCATGACAATTAGTCTGGCTCGATATTATAAAGCAAGGGGTCAATTTACTAATTGCGATTGATTATCCAAAAATATCGACAATTTCATGCGACACAGCCTTAATATCACTGTTCAACACATCCGAAAATGATGGAACTAAACTTAGTTTTTTGCATTAATTAAGGGTTCCTGAACACGATACTGGTTTTTTCTCTACATCTCACAAAGTCTAGCTTTTTAGATATAAAGTCAACGCTGTTCAATCCGATTCATTAATCTTAAACGCGTGTATTCGTTATGGGCAGTAAGTAGAAACAGACTGCAATGAACAGACGCGCTAGCCAAGTCCGATTCAATTGCACGCGTATCCAGAAGATTTTCAAACTCGATTATCTCGAAAACGAAGCGTTAAATGGAAAAATGTTATTCTTCTTTTTCGACTTATTTTTGCATGTAAAATCACTACTCGACCGTTTACACCACGATTTTGGGGGCACCCTGTATAATACATGTTTCTTACAAGTCCATATTTACAATTAAATTTTAAAAAATCCTCAAATATAATGTCACAAGTGATCATAGCATTCAACAAATACAAAATCAAGTAAATAAAACCAGTTTCACTGCATCATTTTAGAATTTTCCAAATTTTGTTGAACAGTATATGAGGCATCATGGTAAAAGAATGTGACATTTGAGTACGTTCTATACGAGCCGCCGATAAAGATTGTCTTGCAACCGTAGAAACGGCCACGGAATTACCATCGATTCGACCGTTACGCGTATAAAGTCACGAAATATGAAACGAAAGTGGCGGGGGGCGCCGGTATGGGATCTACGATACTTAGATCGAGTGAAATTACGGAGTCCCGCGGGATAACGGGGTATTTGAATTTTCTTGAAAGGAACCATTTGTTTAGTCCTGACACGATCGCGCTCGTTCATCTTGAAAAATTACCGGCTCTCACGGCGAAATCCAGAGGAAAATCTGCACCGCTCTACGGCCTGGACCCCAGAGCAGGTCTTTTTATTCTCTGCTACACGTTCGAAATTACTTGTTGCTACCAGTACACGGTACTCCATTAAAAACGCGATTCCTTTCTTTCCTTTACACGCTTTTTTTTATTTTCTCAAATTCGTTTTTTTATTTATTAGATTCTACCTTGACAAAACAGAGCCAATGCAAGAAGATGTAAGGGGAATATAATCGGTGCGATAAAATATAAACAGTGTCCCGTACGCCATCCCCTTTAATTCGAAGTTGTTCATTTCCGCCGCGGGGAAATAAAGGGGACGCGCTGGAAATCCAAGCCGTGTCGCGTTCGTCCCGTCCGTCGCATCGACGCCCCGACGGGCAGTCTCGTTTCGCTCGTTTCCTCGCCGCCAGGAACCCGTCAGACGATCCTCCGAATTGTTTCAATTCGAGAAAGACTAAAATATCTTCGAGACCCTCCGCGTCACGTTTTCTAATAACGACGGGGTTCGTTTCGTACCAGCCCGATTTCCAGCCTCGTGAAGAAAAGAACCGTCGACCGAATTCGCTACGCAGCCGGTTAGAGAAACATCCAGTTATCGACTACAGTATTTATTTCCACTGCGAGCGTTATTACACGGTAAAACTATTTCGTGCCGCTTGACACTCGTCCCAAGGAACACGCTCGATTCTACACAGACACGACAATCACGGAAACGAAAAGCTCGGTTACACGTTACCAGTCGTTTCGGTTCTACGCGAAACGGAACAACGGACATAACCTCTAATAAGACTCTGACAAAGAATCGTTTAAAGTGAGGGGATTGAGCGTACAAGGTTATACGAACCACGGGACACGCGTTTAACAACGCGTTCGCTTGTACGTACACAGAATCTCTACGTTTACACACGATACGTACACACACACGCACACAACGTTCCCTTGTACACAGACACGTCCAGCCTTCGCCGAGATATCAAGCTCACAGCCGCGTACAGCCGACCAGCGTTGTTTGAAGCTGAATCTTGAACTTCACCGGGTCTCTCGATTCATCCAGACGATAAGATTGATAGAGACGATAAGTGGGGAAACGTTGTCAGTTGGGTGGGCAACAGCTTGTTTATCCTGCATTCCACGTACGTGATATAACCGTTTGAAAATAATCGGTATGACTTTAAAGTTATCGATCGGTTCACGTCGGTTGGGTCTCGTTAAAGTTTCCCTTCCGGCGGATTCCTTTCAACGTGTGTCCAACCGTGTTTCGTTCTTTTCTTTTCTTCTATTTAAATCGTTCCACGGGAATCTTCCAGACAGTCCAGTTGTAGTTCCGACAAGTCTTTCGAGTCTCCAGTGCCGGAGTTCGGGTCGTATTTCCATGACGGAACTTTCTCGATTCGGTGGATAGATAATATAGTGTTCAACCAGTAGACAGTTAAGAGGGAAGGATGAACCAGTGGTGAATAGAATTTGAGAAAAAAGTGGTCTCTCGTCGAAGCTTCCACCGTATCCTATGAACCAAAAACGGTAATTCTACCCATTGTCATAGTTCCTCCGATGCTTCGAAGTATGTTGTCATTAAAGTCTCCGTTTCATGTGGGTCAATCAAATTCTCCGCGCTCTCGCCGGCCAGCCCGAACGTTCAGACCGAACATTTAAAGATCCGAGGGGATCCAGTGTTATTTTCCCTTCGTCGTCCTCCTCCTCGAAGTTTCGCCCGGTTTCCTTGGGTCTTTGTGCCAACGGTCAATTAGTCCATGTCCCGCGGAATTAAGCTAAACGAACTTGGACTTTGTTTCATCCTCGGTGCACTTCGGCCGGATGTTCAACTCCACGTTGAACTGTTCTCCGCATCCTCCTTCCAGATACAGGGACAATTCTGGTTAATTTCCATAAAGACACCCCGGCGTCGTTTAAAGTCGAGCCACGACGACGAAAACCATCGTGGTTCCCGTTCGTGGATGGAAAAACGAGCGAAGTAATATTTTTATAGAGGAATGCGTGACATTGCCGCTCTAGTAGCTCGATGAGTTTGAATAATACATGCACAATGTTCACGGGAAGTTCATCTACTCTTTACTCTACCGGTTCGCCGATCAGTCCCGGAACGGGAAGAATCTCTCGAGGAAGCCCGACATCGTCCTCTCCCACGTTTCGTCGACGGACGAAAGATTCCGTTCTCGATGCTGAAACCGGCTTTTCATCGTCGATCCCGTTCGAAATGACACACCAACTATTACAACCTGAAACTCCGTTCAGCTAAACATTTTCTCGGACCAATTGGAGGAACAAGGAACGCTCTTCTAATTTAATCGCGGACAAAAACGAACTCGTTGTAATGATTCCAACGATTCTCCTCGGAGTCCACGCCGGGTTTCAGTTGCTCCGCGCTGCCGCCAGCGGTACCGGAACCGCAGCTGCCGGCCAGCTTGAATCCCTGTTCCTGTAGCATGTCGAACGCCTGTTCGATCGAGCTGTGCTTCAGAAAGAACCTGGCCGTGTAACGATCCGAACTCCCGTGATCGGGATCGCGGCTCTCGTTCAACGTCTCGCCGAATACGTCCCTGCAAAGTGTCACGCGGCCACACACCAGTATTCTGGACAATTTTCGGAACTTGACATCCGCCAGACCCTCGCGACCAAACGCGAAGCTGCCGCGATAGCCAACGATTATGTATCCGGACGTTCTTTTCCCCGACATGGTCAGAGAACCGGCGAACTTGCAGTTGTTCTCCAGCACGGCTCGCTCCAATCCAGGGAGACCGTAGAAATTCGCCTCCTGTCGCAATCGTTCCTTCTCTCGGAACCCCTCGGGCAGAACGAGAGCCTGATTTCGTAGAAAATCGAGAACGTAACGGAAAAGCACCCCGTCCCGATCCAAGAAATATCGGCCCTTCGCGTCCTTCTCGACCGGCGTTTTTCCGGAGAACAAAGTCGCAAGATGAGAATCGCTCTCGCGGGTGAGGGTGGTCAACGCGGTGGTGTAAAATACACCGCCCACGTTCAACTCCACCACGCTTGGCACGGCTTCCTGTTGCTGATCCGGCTGCTGTTGATCCACCATGCTGCCCCCGATACCTCTGCACGGACGCGTTTTATTTTTATGAAGCCGCGCGACTCGAGTCAACGACGATGTGTCGTGAATCAACGAATAGGGGATACACAGTCGGGTCACACGGGGGGATTTGTACGCGGGACGAATGGTCGAGGAGGGATAAGAAAAAAAAAAAAATAATTGAGTGACAACCGTCGGGCGCTCTGTGTTTATGTCCCTCGTTCTCGCGCTACGCCGCGACAAGTCCGACTAAGCACCCCGCCGGAGTAACACTTTTCGTGGCACTGCACACAGCACAGAAGACCCCAGCCGAGGGTCGCGGTGAACAGGGAGAATGGGATACACGTCGGGTCGGTGACCGAGGACAGCTGAGAGGATTCCGAACGACGACAACGGTGGTGGTGTTGGTGGACAGAATCCAAGATCTGATCTGATCCCGGAAAGCGTGCTCTCACGGGGTCCAGGAACGAGGAAAGACTGACGGGAGAAGAGAGACTGCGCCTACGGTCGGTCGAGGAAGGCCGAGCTTAGCTCGGCTTCGTCGCTGCGCTTCCTCTTCTAGGCACTTCGCGCGCGCGGCAGGACGCACCACTCGTGCGGTGTGTATTGCAAGGGCCCCGATACGCTGGCGCAGAAGGTGCACCGAGAACGCGCGCCGATCGTCCACGAAAAGGAGAGGAAACGCGCGCACCAACCCCCCGTTTCGGTCCATTCGATCATCGTGCCACACGCGGCAGGACCGCGTCCGCGTGCTCTTCTTCGGCCTACGAATTTTTCCCACTATCCGTGTTCCCTCCCCCGCCGTTAATTGATTACAGGTAAATTCCATCGGCTGATCACTTTTGAGACCAGGCTCCGCTGCACCTCCAAATATCGAATTCTCCTCCGACAAGTTGTGATCAAACGGGCTCACGCGAACAAAAAAAGAAAACACCGAGGGTGTACTTCTGATCCGCTTACCTGTACATGTGCCAGCGTGCATTTCCTGTCTTGCCATGTAACTTTGTTTTCACGGCCTCTGGTAATTGATGGATCCGCTTTTAGCTCTGTTGCTTCGAACCTTCCCTCGTGTTGCGACACTGAATTATCGGGATTGTTATTCACGGTTTTTCTCATTCACGACTTACAATTCGATGTATACGTATGAATTATATATTTTTTATATATATATAACCACTCTAGGAATATTAAAAAGTATTTACGTTCAATTCTACGTAATAACGGACATATAGTATTTTATGTTAAATTTGACCTCTTGGTGTTTCCTATAAAGGATTGTCAATAAAGTTATATTTAGTCATGAAAATATGTATATAATTTCTGCGTTCATTGATTCTCTAACGTAGTTTACAATCCGTATACGATAAAATCTCGCGCCACGGGGTAATGTATTAAAAACTGTGACGTCATATACATATTTGCGATGACATCTATACAGTGTTTAGTATTTAATCATCGAAGAATTGAACGTCCTCCCCGCCGCTTATCCATACCTCGTGATCAGCTGGTTTAACGAACGGCCGAAGCAGCGCGCGGATCAGTCGCGCTTGGTACGTGAATTGGATGGCCTGCGATGGCCGCTGTTAACAACGTGAAATCTTTACGATCTCCTTTCATACCGTATTTAAACCCAGTACGTTCCGTGCATTATCTTCGTTCTATGCGGAATACAATTACGCGACAGAAGCAGATGTTAGTCGATAATCTCTCTGGTGTGTTGCTACGCAGATCAACGCATGTGAACAACTCGGCCCCTCATCGTCCGTCGGAAATTGGGACGACAATTCCGCGGGATAAATCGTTTTCTGTCAAAAATTTGGGCCCATTCAAGTGTCGTTTCAAAAAGCAACTCGTACGAAATGACGGAGCCACATAACAGAAACTATCGGGAAGACTCGAGGGGAAATGTTCTTAGAAATCATTCGTGGAGTAATGGGCCCGACAGCGAGGATGAACTGGCTGGTGAAAATGGATTGCTTGATGAAAATATGACCAGTCCAAGGTTCGTAAGATTATCGCACTATTTCTAGTCCGTTCTTGATCAGACAGTTCAAGAAAATCATTGTTAAAGTTTTTGTAACGTCAGTTTCCGTATGATTTTTAATCGATAATGGGCGTTAATGTGACCTTTATATCACTGTTTTTCTTTGTCATTTGGTTCACCACACACAATACGCTGTTGCACTCGGTACCATATCTTTGACGATACGTTATTGAACTTTGTAGATACCTTCCTGCTACTAGCTTCCTTCAGAGAATTATTCTTTGTCTACTGAGTGAACCTGTGCCATAAAAGTTATAGAGAACTCGTGTTTCTTTTAATACATTCAATAAATGTTTATTGTCAAACACGGTAAATCATACAATAAATTTCTTTGATAAAGCATACAATGAAAAAATGTGTAAAACATTCATTACTAGGTTATCTGTATTACACAACCAAATATTGTTTATAATAAGGCATTAGATATTATTAACTTAATAAAAACCTAGTTGTGGCAAAGCTATTCTGAGAATAACATTAAAGAATATTCATTAAATTGAAAGTTAAATGCTTTTATAATTCACACTGGACATTTTTTTATGTTTATAGATATCAATCAAGTGTAGCAGATTCACTCGTATGTAATATGACAATATTTTCAGAAGAAAAGATGCGTAGGAAACTGAAGTTCTTCTTTATGAACCCTATTGAAAAATGGCAAGCGAAACGTCGTTTTCCATATAAATTTACTGTTCAAGTCATTAAGATTGTATTGGTTACTATACAGCTGTGTCTATTTGCTCATAACAATTACATGCATGTAAACTATGCTTGGGATAATCGAGTAGCTTTCTCACACCTATTTCTCAAAGGATGGGATGCTACACAAGAGGTAACAGATTATCAATCATACATGTAGTAATTAATACTGATATCGCATGATGAATGTAAAAATCAATTGTACTTGATTTTGATCATTCTGGCTTTCAGGTACCAGTTTATCCACCATCAACAGGCCCCTTGGCAATTTACAGACAAGACGATTTCTTTAGTACAATTGATTATGCTCTAGATGGTTACTATAATCTTAGTAATGCAATTGGATCTTATTCATATACTGCAGAAGACAACTCAGTAGGCCTGGTTGTACTATGCTTATATCATTACAAAGAAGGTATTATTTTTGGCTTCAACGAAAGTTATGTTTTTGACAAAGAAGTCACAGAAACGTGTATAAATATAACTCATCAATTTTACAAGGCATATACCACGTCAAAGCATTTATTGTCTGCAAAAGAAATCCATGTAAATTTCTCAGCCCTTGTTAGGGCCCACGTAAAATTCGCCTTAAAAACAGTCAACTTGAAAGCTGCTGGGCCCATGACACCGCCAGATTGTTATCAGTTTAATGTTATTATCGATTTGGACAATCGAGATTTCGACGGACAAATTTTACTCTCCTTAGATGCAGAACCAAAGAGATTAGAGTGCAAAGGCGATACACGTTATATCACGGATAATCGTATTGAGTCAGCTTTAAGGACGTTACTAAATTTGCTTGTAATTTTGATTTGTAGTGTGTCTTTGATTTTATGCTCAAGAGCTATATACAGAGCGCAACTGTTGAAGTTCGAAACCATGAATTTCTTCAAGAAAACGTATGGCAAGACATTGAGCCTTGAAGGAAAATTAGAGTTTTTAAATTTGTGGTACGTAATGATCATTGCAAACGACCTTCTAATTATCATGGGCTCGGCCATAAAAGAACAAATCGAACGGAAACAATTCGGCAGTGATCATTGGAACGTGTGTAGCATATTTCTAGGAACTGGAAATTTACTTGTTTGGTTCGGCGTACTGCGGTATCTCGGTTTCTTTAAAACGTACAACGTTGTTATTTTGACGTTGAAGAAAGCTGCCCCGAAGGTGGCACGATTTTTAATATGCGCGATTCTTATTTATGCTGGCTTCACGTTCTGTGGCTGGTTAATCTTAGGTCCGTATCATATCAAATTTCGTTCACTCGCGACAACCTCTGAATGCTTGTTTGCACTTATAAATGGCGACGACATGTTCGCCACGTTTACAATAACATCATTCAAATCACCAATGATGTGGTGGTACTCTAGGATCTATTTATACACGTTCATTTCATTGTACATTTACGTGGTTCTAAGTTTATTCATTTCTGTGATAATGGACGCCTATGACACGATCAAGATTTATTACCGCGATGGGTTCCCGAAAAACGATTTGCAAACTTTTATAGCGTCATGTACAGACGAGGCATCCAGCGGTCTTTATAGGGATGATTCTAAGAGCGATCTTACAGACCTTCTTGATCGTTTTTGTTGTTGTCGGAAAAGACCCTTTTATGGGTCATTCTCAGGGTCGAATACAGAATTCCCAACAAAATCGGAAGAAACATGCGGAGGAGCAATCTGTATATAGTGCACTACTGAACAATAATGCATTAAATAAATATTACGGCTCCATGGCAGATACTTGGTATTATCATGACAATTTTGTCGCCTAAAGTATTTCTGACGAAATTATATTGCAATTTGTTTTCAACATTACAGTTGTTGCCTCTTTTTAGTTGCCATTTTTGTGTCATACATTTACCAATAGCGTAAATATTACCGACACTAGACTTTCGTTAATTTTTGCTAGTGCAAAATATAAATTTTTTATGTAAAATAGATTGCAATGTTCAGAATGATAATAATGGTAATATCATTTTTATTGATACAGTATGATTTGCGAAGTATTAATATTATTGAACATAATTCATAATGTACATAAGTAATATCTCTACCGAGAAATTTAATGGTGCAAATTTTAAGAATAATGTATACTTTCTTTTGTCAATGAACATTTACATGTATGTATGTATATATAAGCAAAACTGTATCATGCCAGTTATCAGAAAGGATGATTTATAATGTACTGTTTTGTACATGCATAAACATCTGCAAAATATTACCCAGTATTTTTTAAGAAAAACTGAAGAAAATTAATTCAAGTAGGTAGTTCATTAAAAGTAAAACTAACGTTTTTATTGGAAATCAAATAGCGCATAAATAAATAATCTCAACAAAAAAATATAAGTAGCTCGTCAGATAGTTAGGTATTAAAAAAATCTGTAACTTATATTTGCGACATATTCGTAAGAGTTTTATTGCGTCGTTTTATACAACTTGCATTGTACATGGCATCTAAATATCTGTATTTGATGATGAAATCGCGTTTTATTCAAAACAAACGAGCACACTGAAAAGAAATGTGTTATCCAAAGAAATATATTTATAATAATATTTACAATGGAGTACAATACAATTGTATCATTTTTTAACTAATGTTTCATTTTTTTCCCTTTCTACAAATTAATAAACGTATCAGTCATTGTGCAAAATAGTTCGTGACTTCAGATGAGTCACACATGTGCTATGTGCACTTTCGAATGCAACTATACATATATACTTTACTGTACCAAAATGCAGTGAATCGAACTATATACCAATAAAAGATGTGCCTTATTATACATATACAAATGCCTATATATATACATATATTAGAAATTAAAATGCGACTGACTGTTACGACAAACTACAAAACGAAATAAATACTATTCAATTTTTAAAGAAACTGACATATCTCTTCGTAATACATATTTGTCACAAAAAGAATTAAACTATAGATACTTGCACACAATCTTTGTTAATAAATAGATAAATATCGCCATCACATTTTTCTGCAAAACGTATAACGCACAGCGTGTCCTGTATTTACAAACATTTAATATATTATTTACTTAAATTTTGGAGGTGATATTTTTTTGTTTATTTGTTTGTATGCACTTTACGTACGAATTTAGTACAGAGTGCACTGACCCAAGAAACGAACAGACGTGGTCACTGACCGTACCCAAACGCGATTCACTGTTTACATCCAGTTTTACATCCCGAACTGTCAAGGTGAAGCGCGGCGTCAACAGTACGTCGCTGTTCAGCTTCAGTGCACCACAGACCGTCCTGAATCGAGGGAAAAGTTAAGTATTATAATTCGAAGTTTTCATATCAAGTGCCTTAAATTAATCAGATACAGTGTCGTTACGGTGAAAATAATTGTCCGAGCGTTATTGTGCGAAAATGTCGAGATTAAGTCATGCCGGAGCAGGAATAAAGAACTTTTGTTCTCGAACAAAGAAGCGTCTGCCAGTGAGCACAGTATCTCGAGTATAGTCTCGAGTATATCTGTTTCTCAAGATGAAAATTTTCGCGTGTCAAAGCATGCAGAGAATAGTCTCAAAGTCATGGAAAAATATTTACATAAACAACAATTAACAGACGTCATCTTAATTGCCGGTGAGAAGTAGTTTCTTTGTTTTCAAATACCATTTTTATTATTTTATTGGAGTTGTTTAAATTAAATATTATGTGTCAAAACTGATGATTATTACAAAAGCATCTAACGTCTATTGTTTTATTATTTATTTAGGAAACAAACGTTTCCCAGCACATCGCTTAGTACTTAGTGCAAGTTCAGAATATTTTGCTGCAATGTTTACTAGTTCTCTCAGAGAATCGGCTCAAAATGAAGTTGAATTAATGGAAGTAGATGGGGATGCATTATGGGCTTTGGTCTGTTATTGTTATACAGGTATACCTTTATAGAGAACAGATTAATAGATGAATAATCTATAAATATTGTAAAAATAATTTGTTATTTTAAAATGCAGGCTGTATAGAATTAAGGGAGGATAGTGTAGAAACTCTTTTAGCAACAGCATGTTTACTACAGCTCAATCCAGTTGTTAAGGCTTGCTGTCAATTTCTTAGAAAGCAACTCCATCCAAGTAACTGTCTAGGAATAAGAATGTTTGCAGATACACAGGGTTGTACAGATTTATTAGAATATGCTCATGCATATACAACCAAACACTTTATGGAAGTCACGAAAAATCAAGAATTTTTATTACTATCTGCTAATGAAGTTGCCAAATTGTTAGAATCGGAAGATCTCAATGTACCTTCAGAAGAAACTATTTTTCATGTAAGAAATTATATAATTTAGATACAGAGGAAGATTTAGATAACTTAATCCTCAGTGTCAATGATTATATGTTATTAAACTCAAGGCTTGAGGTGATAGAAGAACTATTACTGTTACTATTAACTTCAGGCACTTATGACATGGTTGGAATATCATCCAGAAAATAGACAAAAAGAAGCAAGCAGACTGCTAAGTCTTGTAAAACTACCTCTGTTGTCCCCTGCAGTGAGTTGAATATTATTACGCATTCACAAAAATTGTGTAGACTGTGAATAGATTTCAATTGATTTTGTACAGTTTATAGCCGACAATATTGAGAGTAATGAAATGTTCAAAGATCAAAGAGTGGCACAAGAGTTAGTCATGGAAGCATTAAAATATCATCTTCTGCCAGAGCGTAGACCATTACTTCAATCAGGACGTACAAAGCCTAGGAAAGCAACTGTAGGTCACATGTTAGCTGTTGGAGGAATGGATGCTAATAAGGGTACTGAAATATAAAAGAATGGACTATACTGAAGTAAAAAAGGAAATGGGCGTTTATTCAATTCATTATTATTTTTATTAGGTGCTACTTCTATAGATGCATTTTCCTTGCGTGATAATGCTTGGAAACCAATAGCCACGATGAGCGGTAGGAGACTTCAGTTTGGTGCTGCTATAGTAGATAAGAAACTAATAGTTGCCGGCGGAAGGGATGGATTAAAAACATTGAATATAGTCGAATGTTTCGATTTTTCCACTTTAACATGGAACACACTATCTCCTATGAATGTTCATCGTCACGGATTAGGGGTGGCTGTATTAGGTGGACTTTTGTACGCTGTTGGCGGTCATGATGGTTGGAGTTTCCTTGACACAGTAGAAAGATGGGATCCATCTACGCGACAATGGAGCTCCGTTTCGCCTATGTCGATACAGAGATCTACAGTTGGTGTTGCTGTATTAAACGATAAGTAAGATTCTAAATCAACTTGTAAATACACAATCAAAAACATGATTGCCGAGATATCATAGTATGAATTTTCAGATTATATGCTGTAGGTGGAAGAGATATAAGTTCGTGTTTAAATACTGTAGAATGTTATGATCCACATACAAATAAATGGACTCCTTGTGCTCCAATGTCAAAACAACGGGGTGGAGTGGGTGTGGGAGTAGTAAATGGGTGTCTGTATGCATTGGGAGGTCATGACGCGCCAGCCACTAATCCCAATGCCAGCAGATTTAATTGTGTTGAAAGGTATGTATGTTCACAAAAGAATCCAATGAATAAATTACATCATAAACATTAATGTTTATATAAATATTTTGTAATATTTAACTATTATTAGGTATGACCCTAAAACAGACACGTGGACAATGATAGCGCCAATGAGTGTCCCTCGGGATGCAGTTGGTGTTTGTGTACTAGGCGACAGGCTTATGGCAGTGGGAGGCTATGATGGCCAACAATATCTCACACTTGTTGAAGCATATGATCCTCATCTTAATGAATGGGAACCTGTAAGTACACACAGATTAGCTCTAGAATTTTCTTAGAAATATAAGAAAAATGTATCACAAAATATTTTCATTTGAAGGTTGCTCCTTTAAAAGCTGGACGAGCAGGTTCGCCATGTGTTGTTGTAAAAAATGTACCTGGTTTCGGATTTGATTAGTGATATAATCATACACATCTTTAAGTATGGATTGTAAAAACGAAACAAATCTTTTAAACATTATTTTTTACATGAAAAAATGAATTCATGAATGTTGCAATTATGTGATTTGAAAACAGCGATGTTTCATATTTAGTAGATAGTAATGTCTGTATTACGTTTGTGTGTACTGCCGTAAATTTGTATATATTTGTACTTACATTTTTTGTATGGACAAATTGAAGTATTATACATACGAGAATGAGGCGACTGTAGAGTAACATGCTAGTTTTAAGAATTTTTTAATAAAATCTTTTTATTATATTTTTTACTCACACCTTTGTACAGATGACAATATATCTTTACAAACACATGATATAAAGGTATGCGTGTGATGATAAAACAAGTAAAGTATGTAAGATCAAATTTATTTTTCGCGTCGAGATACTGTTTTTATTTACATACGTACCCATATATATTTTGTGAACATACTTTTTTCAAATAAATAAAATAAATCATTTTAACTAATTGATTTTCTCTTAATCGTCTTACTTAACAAATTCGCCCATTATGCCTGTTCATGAAGCTTAACAAGCAGGAAATGTTCTGAAACAAATATTAAAAATTGGAATTAACTACATATAATGATGCATACATATTTCATTGAAATGTATCAATGTTTACCGGGGAAAATCGGTTGCTGGTTCTGCAAATTTGTGTCTAACCATAAAAGTCGCAACCGCCTCTGCTACTTTATCTGGAACATCTTCGTGCACCGCATGCCCGCATGCTGGTAATACATGCATTTGAAATTTACCTAATAAAAGAAACTGTAACATTGGTATATTTTCTGTGTGGTACCACAGACGAGATATAAGAATAGACCTAACATGCAATGTAATTTTTTGTCCCCTATTTCGGGGGTGTCAGAAGCTCCCGTACCATATCAGTATTACATTCCTTGCTAGCGAAACCGAAGCAATAATGTATGTATGTATGTATTTCTATATGCAATCACGGGTGTGTGTGTGCTGTGCGTTATCACGGTGTCGAACGTAGTTCCTGAAATCTTTTATGGAGAGGTGCGCTCGAAACAGCGTGATTTTCGTGGGACACCAAGTTCCATAATATGTTAGGTTTATTCTTATATCTCGTCTGTGGTAGTACCTATAAATCATAAAGTTTAAATTAATTATACCTTGCATCTGTCCAACAGTGAGCTGTTTGTCTAATCTATCCACGCCAGCTAGAAGTAGCATCTTAGGAACTGGTACATTTAAAAATGCAGTTGACAATCCTTTAAACCACCCAAACCAATGTTTTTCAGTCTTTGATAAGTCTATCCTCCAAACATATTTTTTAGTGGCAAGGGCAGTAGTATGCGGTGGCGGCGGTAACATATTTACAGGCTCTTCTTCTTGGATAACATCTTCTCGCGAAATCGTTGTCTCTGTATCACACTCACATGATGAATGTGACAGTGACTCAATGTCATGTGTGGCTAATTTATTGGTTTCAGTGCTAGAACATTACAAGATGTGATATATTAGAATCACAAGAAAATAACAGTCACATACAAGTGATATCATATGTATATACACTAACTTCTTTATTTGTCCAGGAACCGACACTTTAGCTGATTGTACATTACGGATTTGGCCACTTCGTACACTAAAATGTGGATAATTAAAGATAGTCTTCTGTAATCTTGATTTTGATTATACAACATAAATATGGAAAATACTAAAGAAGTAAATAACATTTTAGTTTGTAGAGGATCAGCCAAAAATGCCTTCCTTCTGAAAAATGTGCTTAGAATAGCAAATTTTGTTAACAATATATTTTGTTAACACTATTTTCTCTTACATTTGTTTTTCTAGAAGAATATGAAATACTAACCACCATTCCACAGCTTGAGGTATAGAACTAAAACTAGATGGTCGAGATCTTAAAAAGCTTTGCATAGATGCTAGTGCATCCATAGCAGTTCCTTCAACAACATCAATAACTCCTAATCCACATAGATTTGGGATTAATGGAGCAGCTCTCACAGCTACTGCACCACCCATACTATGACCCACCATTATTACAGAACTATCTTCCGTTGTTGCTGCTTTTATAATTGCTGCAACATCTCTAACAATGAGGTAGAAGGACCAAAATAATTTTATAGTCTTGACAACACATATTATGTAAATTATATTCAATTGAGAAAATGTTTCACTCACTCTGCTAAAGTTTCTGCAGATAAATCTTCTTCATTTTCAGTGAAAGTATCGCCATGTCCTCTAAGATCAATTGCCATAACTTTACAGACTATCATGGTCATAATTGACTTCTAAAATATATAAAATATGCAAGCTGTTCTGTGTTTCAAAAATCAAATAATCAATACCTACTGTGAATTCTGCCCATGTTAATGCACTGTAACCACCCCCATGTAGCATTACTAACACTGGTCCTTCCGTCCCCTTGGTATAAATATGAAATATGCCACTTCCTATTGTTATATCTTCGGAATGATCAAAATATGGAATCCATTGAACTGGTTCATAATCTCTCTTACGCTGAAATCCTTTTGACTTGCTGACCCTGCAATGTTAAAAAGTACCAATGATCAATATTAATCAACATTAATACTTTACGTTAAATACGCACTGAAACAATGTTACTCTCGAGTATAGTTCGATAAGACGTTATTAATTATTTGAATTTTATTCAAGAATACAAGTTTTTATAGTTCATAATAAACTAACCTAGAGCCGATTCCAAAATTGACACCTGATGGTGGTAGTTTTGATTTTAAAATCGACTTTTGGAGGGAAGACATGTTAGTATTCAGTAAGCGTCTTCGCTTTTCTAATAATACTGTTTGCAATTACGATTATTTTCACAAATCTCATGAACACATCACAAACTGTAATATAGCTGCTACCATCCCGTTCAAGAAAATGCCAAAATACGTTCTGACAACTTTACTGTTACATGTATGTATATATGTATACTATATAACCGGTGAAAATAGTGACCATCCCACTCTGACACTTTGAGACTCATTAGTTGAAATGAGAACTCCCTCTTACGCTGTGGTATTCAATGGTTTATATAGAAAATCGCTTAAATTATTGTACCCTCACGAGTAAACTCGGCTTCCTCTGGGGGAAAAAGTTATCTAAGGGAAAAACCTCCTACCACTTGGTATTTGGAATTATTAAAAATTATGCCAAATTATCATTCAACATTTATTTACAAAGTGGTAGGAGGAAGTCTATCCTGTTCAAATTTATCAATTCGCAATTTTTTACATGTATATATTCACGAATGAATAGGTTATAACACATTGGTGACAAAAGATGTACTCGAGTAGAATTCTTTTAATATTTACAAAAAAATATAACAATTCATTTCGGAACTTAATAAAGCAATACCGAAATTTGTACTCCTATCATGTAAAAAAAACTTATTTTCCCTCTTCGTTAGTCTTCACGAACGCATCACGCTACTCGAGTGATAGCCCATTAAAATGTTGGAATTGTAATTTTATATACAAATCCGCACTATTTTGTTCAAAATGTAAAACATTGCAAGAACCGCCCGAAAGTTTAACTTACTTCGATATAATGGGTATTCCTAAAAGTTATGACATAATAATTGTTGATATCCAAACTAAATACAAAGAACTTCAAAAGTTATTTCACCCTGATAAGTTTGGTAACAAATCTGAAGTAAGTATTACATATTTTAGTATTCTTAGCAATTAATATTTAGGCAATTTCCCTATAAATTGTTCTGTTTTGCTTTGTTTTTATAGAAAGAAAAGCAACTGTCCCAAAACATATCATCACTAGTAAATAGAGCCTATAATACTTTGTTAAATCCTTTACAAAGAGGACTGTACATATTAGAATTAAATAACATAACAATATCTGAAGGAACAGACAATATGGATCCAGAATTTCTAATGGAAATAATGGAGAAAAATGAAGAAATAGAAGTTGCATTGAATGATCATACAAAGATACAAAAATTAACAAAAGAAAATAAAGAAATATTGAACAGTTTAACAATGTAATATTCCTTTTTACCAAAGGGATATGTAATAATTTGTCATCAAATAATAAGGACATGTATTTGTTTTAGGGAAATTGCTGAGGCATTTCGAAAACAAGATATTAAGAAGGCAGAAACTCATCTTATAAGAATGAAATACTACAATAGTATTAACAATAGATTGAAAAAACTGAAACACGATTTAGGTATAGTAGAATGAATGTAAATTAATTCTAAAAGTATATGAAATGTCTTTAATATATGTATATAATAATTGTAACATATAAATAAGTGTTTACTATAAACATTATATTATAATATAATACACTTTCCATTGTTGAATCCATTGGCATATTCTATTTACATTGTCTGCAACTTGATTCATATTATTACTCATTAATTCATGAACTATTTCTTCTCTGTAAGCTGATCTTGCTTCTTCAAGGATTGTTTGAAATATTTCACAGTCTATATTATCTTCTAATTTTTTCCCTGTGTAACCTCTGTTCTTTAAACGATCATACAAAATTGTATTGTCAGTCCTTAACACAAAAACAATGTCAAACCATCTTTCTGGAAAGAAATCAGACCCATGGTAATCAACAATTTTTCCACCATCACACATTAGTTCTTCCATGTGATCCAATAACTATAATTAAAAACTATGTTATTTACAAGTTAATAAAGACTTCAAAACTTATGATAATCGTAACAAGTACCTTATCTTCATCTAAAATAGGGCATTGATATACTTCATCATATTCTTCTAAACATTTGTTTTCAATAGCAAATTTGCTAACATCTATCCAAGATAATCCTGTCCTTTCTGACAAGAGACGACACATTAAACTTTTTCCAACTCCAGGTGTACCTAATGTTAAAAAATGCATTATCCTAATTTACGTTACTTCTATATGTTAATTCGCATTGTAAAATGTAAATTATTATTTTAATATACTTAATAACAACATTAATAATTCTAATTTACCGGTCACTAAAATATTTGGAGAACTTTTATTCATGTTGATCATCTTTTAACAATTGGATTATGTTATCTATTTACATAAAAGTTGATTTAAATTACTTAAGCATCCTAAACATTGTTAAACGTAACACTTAGAGGTTAACTACAAATGTTATTATGTTATGTGTATAGTCTATGATACAAGGGCGCTTATTTTACTTTCAACTTCAACGTTGTTCAACGTGGTAATGAAAGGCGAGAAGTAAGCAAAAAATTAAGTTTTGCTAAACTGAAAAATGTTTGAATATTGACGATGTAGCATTGTCTAGAATTACCATTTTTAACGCAATTCTGATATGTCAATTATATTGAATATTATTAATTGAAAGTAAAACTGTTTTTCTATAGAAAAAATTAATCTTAATTGTTCAAAATTAGTAGGGACATACTCTATTAGATTTAAACGAAAGATGAAAAATCTGTATTCCGATTTACTACTTTAATATATTTTTCAAGTGATGTTAACGTTATTTGAAATATTTATCAAAATTCTGTCAAATTAAAACGACACAAATTTATCAGTATTGTAATAAATTACTTAATAATGAATGCTTCATTATGTTTTATCTTCGTTCAAAAAATTCCGTATAAAAAGCGCTGATGGATATCTATATTTTTCGGCATACTTCATGGACATTGATGCAACGTAACACGTGTTGGGTCGAGTACGTTTATTTAAAGAGAGAGAAGACGTAGTAGTTTCACCAGAAACACGGAATTTTCGTCACTGATTCGTAAGGTCAATTTAATATTAGTACTAAATATTTAAATATATCGAATGAGAATACAAGTTTCAACAGGAGTGAAACATCATGATAAATAAATAATCACCAGGAGGCCAAGTTGTGGTATTTCAGGAACAATCGCTCACGGCACGACCTGGTACGAGAAGAATGAGCTGGCATAATTCGTTGCGCTCATTATTTTATTGCAATTCTTTCTCAATATTTCACGTATATCGTAATGGTGCCGTTTGCTTTGTTTCTGATTACTGATTACTTCGATCGCAATGCAAATTATAAATCTTGTTTGTCGACACGATTTACCTAACCTACGTTATTATGGTTTATAACCTAATTAATCCCCATAACATATTGTTATCCAATTCCATTGCGAAATGAAATCAAATATTTTACGTGTGTGAATATACATTAATAACAAAATGCAACAAATCGTGTATCGTGATACTGTCGAATTTGCCTTTTTGAATTTTTACATCAGTTTAAGTATTAAAGAAACAAACAAATAAGGTACTTACAGTTGTAGGTATGGATGTATAGATTATATAGTTGATTGAAGATTATTTAATTATTAGAATGTACTTTTATTGGAGTTAATGACTTTATTTTTAGACTATTCATTTATAATCCATTTATAACATGCATGATTGTAACATAATACATGTGTATATATATACACATAATATAATAATGATAAAGTATAATGAGGTATTAATTTTAATTAGGATTTTATAAAGGCCTTAACAGAATAAATCAATTGTCGATAAATCAATCTGTCTGATTTTAGTTTTTATAAATTAGTCCATAAAAATCTATATTTGTGTAAACATTTGCAGTTTAGTCATTATAAATAAAATATAGTAAATTTTCGATTAATGCTCGAAACTCGGGACCGCTTTCGAATTGTTATCGTAGAGGGACACAATTTTCGGACCTTATAAATTTCACGCAGAACCTCCGTAGTTCACAACAAGACCAAAAATAAAAAAGTTTCATCACAGCATTATTGTTGTCTCACCGATACGCAGGATTTTAATCTTGTGTTGCCTCCCACTTTTAGCCGTCGGTTCGTGAAAAGGAAACCGCTGGAATGTATAGTATTCCTTGCTTGACTGGTTCCAAAAGGTACCCCCCCACAGTAGTGAGATTGATAAAGCAGAAGCATTCAATGTAATGATCGTTCCGAGCATTTATCGAGGATTTACTGTATATGGAAATTGATTTGTAAATGAATGATTTTTTAACAATGATCTTTTCATGTTATTCCAGACGAGAATAATAGACAATTGGTACAAATAGTATATACCAAAGAGGAAGGAAGACAGTACAACAAAGATTGATTTGCAATAAAAGAAACACCACCATAGATCATAAAAGATTCAAGCATTGCTTCGGCACAGAAGGGCTCTATGTGCTCCACATCAGTTTCAGCGAATGGTATTTTAGTTTTCAAAAATATTGTATCACGGCATCAAAGGAGGAACTCATCCAGAAATTATAAGTTTGGCATACGTCAGAGGCAACATGCGCAACGAGATTACTGCAGCAGTACTGTTCTTAGTACAGCTGATAGAAAAAAACGAAAAATTTAGTCCTGATCAATTGGAGTGTTTCAAAAGACGTTTAGTCGAGTTATTAACTGAACGTTTTAAAAACCATTGGTTTCCTGATAAACCATTTAAAGGTCAAGGTTACCGTTGTATTCGCGTCAATGGCCATAATCGGAGGGATGCAACTTTGGAGAGTGCTGCTAATGCTGCTGGAGTCAAATATGAAGATCTTTCCTTACCAGTAGAATTAACACTTTGGGTTGATCCTAATGAAGTTTGCTGCCGATTCGGGGAAAGTAAAGGATCCTATTGCACATTGGCATCTTTTGACGACAAAGAAAATACTGTACCAATTTTCCAAGGAAGCAACGGAAGATTAGAAAAGGAAAACAAACAATCTGAGGGGCAGACTAAGATACAGGTTGATATCAATTTCTGTATACGTACTTATATAAAATAACTCTGTCTTAGACAATAACACAAATTGTTTAAGAAAATAGTATAAAACATTATACCTTATTTTTTTTTTACAGAAATCCCCTCTGACTATTAATACAGAACAACAAAAATCAAAACCACTAAGCTCTGCTAATCAAAATCACCAGCATAGTAATAATGGTACAGGTAGGAGACGTAATTTGAATAGCCCCAGGCTACACCTTAACAGAAATCGTTCGTGGTTTGGTCACTCCTTCAGTATGGGATATGGTCCTCATCCAATAAGTCAACCATGGTATAACATTATGCCTCCTCACTTTTTGGGTGGTCCATCTCCACCTTCTTTCATGGGTCATAGAGGAAACAAATGGATCCATCCACCCTCCTATCCAACAGGACCTGCCCGTTTTCACCATTGGTCTCCCAAAGCTGCTCTTAAAGTATAAACAAGCCCTCCTTATGAAAGTAGTTAAGAAATCTGTTCCTTCGTATAAAAAGGAAAGATATGAAATTGTTTTGTCAATTCAGAAATTTTATATTTCAGTCTAAATATATACAACATTTATACCAATATCGAAAAAAAAATAACATTCTTTAGATTGTATTCTTTAAAAGAAGAAATTAAATACGCGCATTTTTATATTAGGAACAGGTTTGTTAATGTTTCAGTGACAAAAGTTATCCATTTTGTAATTACAAATGACCTTGTTCGAATTACGACTAAGGCTTACGATTTTTTATGACGAGAAATGTTGCATTATTACATGTTATATATACATAATTAATTGAATGATAGATGTTTAATTCCGGATGCAAGGTTGCTTGTAAAACATTAGATTAGTGAGAATTTAACTAGAATGAATTAAGTCATTGATGTTTAAGACATAAAAACGAATGTCATATCAATTGTGACACTTTTCTGATTAATCCTCATGAAAAGGATTTAACTAATCATATGTCGTATATACTTCAAAAGGGAGCAGTATTGATTTCAAGCGGGTTTCCAAAATTAGATACAACTATTCATTAAATTGTACGTATTGAATTTTAATGCCTTTGTAGGCGATCTCAGTTCATTAGTAAATATTTCATATATCAAATTCTGTCATGTAATAGAAAGAAAGAGTTTAGAATAACTTTTCTTTGATGTGTATATAAAATGTATTCATAATCATTAGAGCTTCAAAGATTACTTTATTTTTCAGTATTGTTATAGTGTTTGAAAGGGGATACGAAATTTTAGTCGTATTATCTTCAAATTTGTTGATAAAGTGGTGTTCTACAACAGTGTTGAGAAACCGTGTAAACTTTGAAGTTCTAGTAACAGTGATTTGAGGATGATCATCGACAAGTTTAAATCAGTAACTTTATCTTTTACTGTATATGTGTATTATGATAATGCGTTAACGATTAGAAAAAGAAAACGATACCTTATTTAATTTCACAGGTTTGTGGTGCAGAGAAATTTCTGTTATCTTTGCTTCAAAAAGCACACCATACCTGTTGCATAAACATACTGCCTCCAAAGAGATTCTATTGATAATCAGTTATACTAGAGCATTACAAAAATGTGCATGGATTTCATGGTTAATCTGCAGTTACAAAATATTGAATCATTATTTTAATTATGCTCAACCTGAAGATAAATTGAGTCTATGTTTTTAAGTAAAAACTAATAAAACTTAGTATTTAAGAATATATGTATATCATTGATGTTGGTAGATCAGTGGAGTTGAAACTTTAATTCTACACGTACTAATGCTAATGTCATGTACATTCAATTTTGTATATTGTAGACAATTTATAACACTATAGTAATTTATATTTACTTCAACTGTATTTCCTGTTGCTTTGTTAACAATACACATATGCGCCTTCTCTATATTCAGGAGTATCTGTGGAAGGACTCAGAAATCAAGTAATACGAGTTCAACTTCTTAATTGCCATTTTATGCAGTATTCTGAGCGATACATGTTAATTTTTTTAGTATTTTCATACATCATTATGTATCTTTAATTTGTCTCCAAAAATATGCTTTGCAAATATGTATACTGCAAGCAAGAGTAAAAACCAAACATTTCTTGATTGTATATTTAAGTAATGCGTGATCTCTGGTTTTTGAGCCATTCATACATGATGCCTGAATGTTTTAGTATTGTTAGTGCCTAAAATGTGCAATTTCTTTAATGTATATTGTAACAGAATTTGCTGATAAAAGTAGCTGTCACTTTTATTCACGAGTACATAATGTGAAAGTTACTTTTAAGAATTACGTTTATACAAGTATAATGATTAATTGGCGCAGAATATTAATTCTGATCAAAAGTGTGAAAAGTTCAATACATGCAATATATTTTAATGATATAATTAACGTATATGGTTAAAATCTTTTAAGAAATATTAATTCTTATTTTAAAGCACTAAAGACTTAATAGTATCGTGAAAAATTCAAACTCAATGATATAAGTGTTACCATCTGTTATATATATATATATATGAAATGTGAGTTTAGTAAGCTCTGACAAAAATGTGACTATTGTTGTAACTATAAACACTTAGTGTTCTTAGGTGAATTTCTAAAAGTATAATCAGATACAACATAAATATTATTGAATAGACTGTACTAGAAAAGATTTTAATCAAATATGTAGTATAAATTTTGCAATTTTCATGTTTCACATTTAGCATTGTTTAATATATGCATGAAATTTGTTCTATTATAGGTAATTTTTGTGTTCAATTTGTTAAAACACATTCAGGAAGAGTCATTTTGTTGTTATGAAGGATATGAAAATTCTATATGAATATAGATATTATAATGTATATGTAGAGTTAAGCAATGTTGCATTCGGACCTATTCTTTTATTAATATATACATAGTATATATATAATGCTCAACATTTGAAATGTTCCAAACTTTTTAATTGTGTTCATGTGTAAAGGAAAGAAAAGAAACTTTACAACTCATACAATAACATTTTCAAGTTATAAATGTTCAGAAAGAATTTTTTTATAAGGAACCTATTATATTCGAGTAACATGTGATAAAATATGTAGTATTCAACAAACATCAGCGTACTTGACAAAAAAAGGTACATAAATTTCAGGCAGAAATATAGTCTCTTTTATATAAAATGTTCTTTTATATTTGTAACTTCTTAAGTACATGCTAGTTAGATACTGAATTATATAAGTAGATATAGTGTATTGGCAGCAAAGTATTGAAGATCTTTTTATTTTCTTTTTAAACATGCAAAAATACCGAAAAGGAAATTTTAGATTTCAAATTAAAAACCTATACTTTTTTTATACGACCAACCTCTATTTAAAATTTTAAGACTTCTTAATTGTATATTCTCTTATCAAGTAAGACTGTACTTTATAATCGTATAAAACCAAACTTTAAAAAAGGAAGCAAATTTGATATTAAGAGTTAACTTCATAGATTGTCTTAATGTTTGGATCATTTCGATTGTAGGGTAAGGCACTATATAAACGTATACATATATTCTACCACTGCTGTGTCATATGTTATAAGAATATTTCTTGCATAGCTATGCAATAATGACTATAATCCTGTTCTACAACCATACTGATCTTTGCATTTTTTCATAACTTCAAATATATATTTCTGTTTAGTACTTTGTTTCGTGTTATCCAATAAAAGATATATTACACATTCAAGCAAAATATTTACGGATCATTAATTGTATGACCTCCACTTCTTACATTAGAATCAAAATTTATAAACTATGTAGTAAGATAATTATGAGTCAAAAGTTAAGACACAGTAGAATGATTCATAGTTGTACTAAAAATTTAAGAAAGTATAAGAAAACCATGTTATTAATAGATTGCAAATCAATGATTTTATTTTCATTTTCAATATACTTGTACAAGTAGTTTGTTACAAAAGTAACTTGTATATTCTTTATTTTAGAAATTCTATTATTATGAATAGGTGCAAATGTTGTAATGAAACTACATTGTACATGTGAAAATTTTACGTTTGACTGTAATTTTGTATATATTTTTGTGAATTGTCTGAAAAAGAAACAATATGTTCTTTTGTTGTTCAGTTGTTTAAATTTTTATGAGAAGTATTGCGTTCAGATGCAAAACAAACGGTAATTTCATAATACATCCACATTAAGTTACGATTTATGTTCATTTTAATTTCAAATCATTGAATGCATTTCTTACAAACGAAACACGAACTTGTAAACGAAACTATTTTCCAAGTATTAAATACACATTTATCAGGTCACCATTATTGTTATATTTAACATCATTAACAATTTTATGAATACAAGCATTTTATGTATGGGGTATAACAAATACTTAATAAATACTTCAGCAAATTAAGTTTCCCTCGTCTTTCTTCGAGTTAGTTTCCCTTCAAATTTCATATAAGTTCAGCTTTAAACAATAAACAACATAAATATTAATTTTTGTGTAAATGTGACAGATGACAGACATACTTTCATATTTACACTACACGACAAAATGATAGGATATCCCTACATTTTTAGTGTTTCTGAAAAGTAGTGCAATATATGTATAAAAATTCTGTACACATCTGTATAAAAACTACTTCCTTAGTATGTAACATTAAAAATAGTCAACCCCTGTTTACATAGTTTTATAAGAACTTGAAATATTTATGCGAAAATCGGGTGTGATAAAATGATAGGAGATATATAACAGATATAAGAATTTTATTTAAAAAAAATTTTTTTTATATCTTGCCTTACATTTGTATATTTGTAACAGATAAATTCAGAATAGATGTAGTTTCATAAAGAGTTTTTCAAATCTATCTTTTGGCCGGCGGCTTATAATTTCCCTTGCGGGAATGCCTTACTGTAATGAGCCATCTCGTAGCCGCGGGTTTCCGGGAATTGGGTGACGTCACGGCATGCGAGCGAGAGCGGTAGAACGAGCCGCGGTATCGATGCTCTCTGTCGGTGTTGACGCGTGCCGAAGAATTTCGGTGGTCTATGGGGGCAGGTGTGCGAGCGAGAGAGTACGGGAGAGCGTGCCGCGGTATCGGTGCTCTCCGTCGGTCCAACGCGCTAGTGACGTTGCGTCACACAGTTTATTGACCTAGCCGTGTACGCTGTGTATCATGGCTGTACATGGCCGTACCATCTGGTGTTTGGGTCGTTCAAGGAGGAAGGTCGTTCAAGCCGGCAAAAACAATTCAACAGGAACAAACCTGCGTACGCCCAATACATAACAGCGTTAGCTTCCTCACTTTCTCGTGAGCCGTCGCGGAGGGTGGGCGCGCGTCTCATACTCGTCCTTTCTCTTGTTACTGACCCATTGTTTGTTGCAGGCATTCGACAACCATCAATTTATTTACTGTGCATAATTGTTGTGTCCCCCCTCTTGTTACTAATACCTTGTATGTTACAGATGTTCGAGAACCATTGGCTTCGATATTTATCTTCTTATGTACTGTGATTCATTTACTGTGATTTATTTACTGTGATTTCTATACTGTGATTTATTTACTGTGCATATTATTAATCTATTTACTGTGCATATTGTTGTGTCCCCTCTCTTGTTACTAATCCCTTGTATGTTACAGATGTTCGAGAACCATTGGCTTCGATATTTATCTTCTTATGTACTGTGATTTATTTACTGTGATTTATTTACTGTGCATATTATGTATTCTATGTGTATTGTATAATGAAAAATATTTTTCCAAACAGTTATTCCATCGAAAGAAGACATCGATCAACGTCTACATCTTCAAAGCGTGCGTCTACCACTGCGTTAAGTTACTGTAAGTTAAACTTAAATCATAATTCGATATTCATTGTTATATTCATATTCATCATCACATCTATTGTTATTAATTTTAGTCTATCTATTAATAGACTTCAATTGTGATCAGCCATTGTGCATACCAAGTTATTATTAATTCATTTTGCTCGTTGATTTCTCTACACAGACTTGGGGTATGGGCAGTGGGTCTGTACCTATTATGGTACGGGCAGTGGGCCTGTGCACTAAGACTGTTTGCCGATCCCTCTGGTTTCTATTGAGAAGCCAGATATCGGACGTGTTTAGTCTTTGCCTGGTAAGTAGGATTTGGAGTAAAGGCTCGTGCGCGCCTGGGTACAACGTACCCGCCTACGGAGTAGTCGGGAGTCTGCTCCGTAAAAGGACTCTGTTTTACAGGGGATCTCGCTTGCACTACCATACTTGGTCATGACCTGTGCTCGGGTCTGGTACGTAGGTGACCAGCCCAAAGGGCCTGGAAAGTGAGAGATGGATTCGGGTTTGCGAGGTTGCGCCCGTCTTTCCTATTTTCTTAAACCAGGTTCTGGCGACAACACTTTCATCGCGATACTTGTTCATACTGTAGTTTAACGTGGTTCATCGTAGAATTAATTTTTGGCTTGGTATATTAGGTGCGTAAACGAAATGATCGATGGAACTTTTTCCATTCCGTCTATCTCTTTCGTTTGAGTATTAGCGACTACATTGCGTTAAATTTGTTATTTCGTATTACTAGCATTAATTCGTATTAATTAGAATATTAAGATAATATTAGTTCTAAGCTGAAGAACGAAGACAACCGACGAGGGAACTTAGTTTTTTATAGGTTTAGGCTCAAGAAAGAAGTCATCCGCCGAGGGATTTTAGTACCGATAGTATTACATAGTTAAGATTTAAGTTATTTATAAGGTTTATTGTGAAAGGTGGGTAGATGTAGAACTTGTGATTCCATCTACCTGCCTTGGGCCTCCACTCGCAGCAACCTCCTCGTGGTGAGGCCTGGGCAATCGGTATTATCATCGGTAAAGTACTGTAAACTGATGACAATATCGAGCTAATGGCTGCGAACTTCGAATCTATCTCATAAAACCACGTTCTATATTACATCGAACTAGGATTATTTTAGAAATCGATATGAGATTCAAAGTGTAAAAATGTCTAGTACTTTGAATGTTTTAGAAAAGTATTCGAGATAAAGATGTATGGAACTACTGAAAATTACTTTAGATTCCTTTTCCTTATTCTGTAAATTCTTTGATTGGAATATGAATGTTGCTGGAAGTATGAACATTTTCACAGGACAATGATATAAATGGAACTTTAAAACTTTTTTAAGTGTTACAGTGATATTTCGTTATATGTTCCATAATGTCAATAATATTGATTTTCCCGCAACATCCATAATTATTACAAATGTCAATATAACAAAATATCTTTTATGCGATGTTTGTGGCGTAATAAAAATCTGTGTTTCGATTACGTTTTTGATACGTATTACTCACTTATATGTAATAATATAGAATAAAAATATACTGTTAGTCCGATATTTGAAAATATACATGCGTTCGTTGTCACTGTTAAACTGTTGTAATAACAATGGAATAATAAAATAATTTACTCAAATGTACATAATAATACATATACATATTCATAAAAACAATATTAAACGCAATAACTTTTTTGCACACGAAAAAAAACCAATAGGTCCGTCGGGACTCGATCCCAAGACTCCTTTCTTATACGTCTACTTTACAGCGAACGACGGAAGAGAATCCGTTCACGACCATGGTCCCTTCGATGATTTTCTGTAGAAGTTAGACTAGTTGAGCTCGAATGAATTTAACGCAGTTCACAAATTCACCGTTCTCATAACGTAGAGGGCAGCAGAAAATTCCTGACTTTTTACACTATCGGTATTTCAGAACATGAGACACGAAGTCCCATAAGATGATAGGTCTATCCTATACCTAGTCGGTGATAACAGTCAGTAAGTGTGGAACACTTACCTCCCTCGATAACTGTCGCGATCCGGACTCGACAATGTGACAGTTAACCGGGTATTACTGTATTTAGTATGACAATCCATCTGTCGCATCAAGTGTGAATCTCTTATGATCCGTAAATGGTATCTCTCTCCGTTTCTTCTACCATCTAATGTGTCCCCAAACAAACACCATTACATTTCTTTGTTGAGTAAAAAGCCGTCTTTAAAGCTTCTTGCGTTCAATATTTTCATATTGTTGTAGAATGTGTTGTATATTCCTTACGTTTGTATTATAGATATTCCAAGATATTCCTGCCCAGTTTGCAATTTGACGTGATGTCAGGGTACACTGAGATCTAATTCTTAATTTTGCCCGTACACCACGATCACTCACAGCGTGAAATCGACTTTTACTTTTTTTTTCCGTGATTTTCAGGATTTTAACAAAGTTTTGCAATAACATTCCGGCTTCCCTCTACGAGTTTGGATACCTTGCAGATACTTGCACCTTCCTTTCTTAAGTTTAAAATCATTTCCCTCTCAGTTTCATTCAATTGCGTGCCACGGCCCATTCCAAGATATATACGCTAATATTCTAAGATCACTGACTTAAGTATTTTTGACTCAAAGTAATTATTATTGCAAAATAAATAGTTTAGACATAATTGAAACTTAATCTCACAACGAGCACTTAGTAACTGACTTGTATATTATTACTATTACTGTCCTATCATTTTGTCACGGAGTGTACGTCCAATAAGAGGAACGATCGTTTTCCCGAGTGATTCTATTGGTCGCACTTGAGTGTTGTATTAAGTACAATTTCCATTACTAAAAATTTATTTTCAAGATTTTTTTCGTTCGATTATTATTTTTTTCTGCGTGTGGATTTGTGACACATCGTATAAAATCATGAAAGTAACACATTACGGCCACGACAGCTGCTAAGAAACGTCATCGATACAAGCTGAACGTCGACGATCAAGTGATCAAGTGTACTCGGAAGAGTCAGATGTGTGGTAAACGGCAGGAAAAGTCGCGATCTGTCGTTTTGTAGCTTCTTATCGTACACGTTTCGAAGTTTTTATCAGATACATTTATCGCATACATTGTTTTCGTTGCTGACGATCTTCTGAGACATTAATTCGCGCCGAGACGTGCACCAACTGTCCGTATTTCTGCACAAAACCAACGACAGGGTTATGAGGCTCAAATTTCGAAGTCTCGCTATTAGTCAATATTTTTTCAGTGTTTATAATATACTTTCTGGACTATACGATGGCTGAGAAATGTAAGGTACGTACATCGGTGATAAATTAGCGCCACGTGGACGTAGAGATTGCACTTTTATAAAACATTAAAACAAAAAAAAATGAAAAATAAAAAGAATGGTAGTGTCAGAACAATATAATTTAAACAGAATATTAATGATGCTAAGCTTATTCTGACATTTCATTAATGTTATTGTTTTTTAAATAGTTCCAAATTTTGTTATCCACCATATGTGAATGTTATTGAATGCAACATACTTTTGTTATAGGAATGTGGGTGTAAATGTGCAAATTGCACTCAGATTGATCAACACTGTGACATGCATCTGCATGCAGAAATAGAGAACTTACGGCAACACCTAATGGAAAGGGATAATCACATTGCAACAATGGAGACACAATTCTTGAATGAAGCCGATAAGTTTCCAAATGGAGAATTGGCATCAATGAAAGAGGAGCTTTTAATCTGGGAGGAGAAATATTCCAGGCTATACGAGGCTCACAAACGTATTCAAAAAGTAAATCAAAATCTCGAGGATAAATTGTTGAGGATTGTAGATAAATGTGAAACAGAGAAAAGTGCATTTACCAAGGATATTGCAACTTTGTCCCACAGATTAGCAGATGCAAATTATACCATACACAGATTAACTCAAGATAATGTATGCTTAAATATTGATAATTGTTTTTAGTTGAAAGTATAGACATACTTGCTTCATGAATAATATACTTGTTTTAGGAAAAGTACAGAAATGATGTGAATCTAGCAATACAACTTCTTCAGTGTAAACCTTCAAATTTTGTTGGTCATAAATATGATTCTGTAAGTGATTTACATGTACGTGATTTTGATACTATGTAAACGAATTTTATAATAATATTTATTTTTCAGCTACCTTCTGAAGTACAAGCCAAAGTTAGAACATATGTTGCACAAAAGAAACGTTCAAACGATAATCCTCCAGATGTTAAAAGTATTACAGTACCAATTTCAACATTTCCTCCAACAGCAATGGTATACAATGTAACTAAACCAGCAGTGGAGAAAAATAGCGATGATGATAGTGATGAATCGAAGCCTCCAGTAGACGTTGTGTCAGCTGCAATAATGGCTAAAGTGTTAGAAGACCGTGAGAAAGAAAGGATATTCACAAAACACTGTGATACGTGCACTTGTCACAGGAGTATTCTGATGATAGATGCAGAAACTCAAACTACCGTGCAAGACGTTTTTTCTTGCAATGATTGTGCTATGAGGTATGCACAAAACGTAGAGAAAAATGCTGAAAAAAATTGCCAAACTAAAGAAAGTCAAAATTCTAATTTACATATAGCTTACCACGAGGTAAATGAAAACATTAGTATTAGTAAAATGCAATATCAAAGTAACTGTACAAAGAATACTAGTTGTCAACATTTAAGCACAAAAGATAAATTTCTAAATAGAAATGGTAAACTAGAAAGCGTAAAGGAAGATGGTCGCGCGAGCGTTATTACAAAAGCTTCGTTAAATAAAAAGAACTCAATCCGTCGAAACGATTTGCAAATTCAAAATGTTTTGCAAAGTCAGAGCGAAAATACGTCTAAACAGATGCCTCAAAAACTCGGTGAATCGTGTACCAGTAGCAAACCGAATTTTGAGAAAGGAAAATCGATGAAACCATACAAAAAGTGCGAGTCTCAAATCGACGGTAAAATCAATTCAAATTGTTGGAACAAATTGGACAAGAAATCCTCTAATCATAGTCATATAGTTCCTGAAAAACATAACAGTTATTTTGATGGGAAAAAACAGAGCCACGTTGATATTATTAATGATAGATTGTGGAAGAATGAGTGGACGAAATTAAAGTCTCAGGCGGACAAAAAGGATAATAAAAACACGGAAAAAGTCAGCAGTCATACCGAAATTGATATTATTAATGACAGAGTCTGGAAAAATGATCGATCACCGCAAAAAACGCATCAGTCAACGCAATTGACGTTAATAGAAGTAAAGAATATTGATAACAATTCAAACCAAAATGACTCTGGACAGATGGAAGTGGCCACTAGTCCCAGTTTCAGTAGCGATAGTATAGTAATTTCAACTTCTGATCCTTCTAGCAGTTCCAGTGACGTTGTTCAGTCCCTTGGCGGGAAAAATTTGCATAATATCGGCAATTCGAAACCCGGTAGCCAAAATCGAATAACTGGTCCAAGGAATTGTCTCGTGAGAGTCACCCCTGGATCCAAAAATATTCTTCTAGATAATGCTGGACATTATAAAACTGTATTATACACTAGCGGAAGTAACAAGTCAAACACTGCTTTAGTTCATTCAAAGAAATTATCTCGATCCGGCTCCGAGAGATCAATTTCCACCAGTAGCGAGGAAAGCTCACCAATGTTGCTCCATGACAATAATCAGTTACAAAGAGTAGCCGAATGGGTTCAGTCATCAGTGCACATGGATAATTCTGTGTTAAATTACACGAAATTAAAGTCTAATGAGAATATAATTGGTAAGAGTCCTTCGTTAATGTATTTAAACGAGTCTCAAACGAAGTCAAAGCTGCTTGAAGATACGCGAAGGTTATATGAAAATATTCAAGAAAATAAACATGAAGATCTAGTGACAGATGTACAAGATTTTGGTAAAAAGAGTTTAACAAATGATGTAAATCATTTTTCGCCATGTTTAACTAACATAGAACCGGAGAAAGAGAAAGATTTGATAACATTCGACGTTTCGAACGAGGAGGAAAAAGTTGTGCCGAAGATTTCCAATCAAATGGACAGTGTTGATTTCGATTACGAGGTTAAGATTACTAAAGAGATGGAAGAAACTTACTTAAAGCTTGCAGCAAGCTTAGATCCTGTCGCGTTGAGCTTGTCGAGCGTGGACAGTGCGGACTTGACGATCGAAAAGTACAGGAAAGATCACAAACGATTTCAGAGGAGCCACGATAAGGCGGGATCAAAAGTATGAAGTGTCTCGCCAGAAATATTTCCAGATGATTATTATTACTATCTCAGCAGGGAGTTCCTTTAAAAATAACAGAGCGTTATTTTTTGTAACTAAATGAAACTAAGGCTGTACCAAGATCAGTAGCTTAGGGAAAAAACATTCTATACACCACTGCAGACATAGGATTATATTTATTTAATTCGTATAGTTGATATTAGCAGCTTTATTGCGTGATGAATTTGTACACAGCAGTCACAGGATATTGCCGATATGTAATTATTTAGTAACCAATTCAGTCGATTATTGTATAGTTAACGCGCCTAAATTTAAATGAAATGATCGTGCGATTTATGAAAATATTTATTAAACTCGCAAAAAAAAAAAAAGAAAAGAAAGAAGAAACATCAAGTTACTTTGCAAAAGAAACAATGAAATGTTGGTATTGTCGTTTCATTTCAATTTTTTGATTCTCTACAGTTTTGTATAGAGTCATTCTATATCGGAAAATAGCCCAGTTAAATTAGATGACGAGACTTTTATTCTTGTTACTGCGATTAAATATTATAGAACGAATTGCGTTCGTACGTATTGAAACGTGACAATATTTAAGAATTCGTTGTCGGATTTAAAGAACTATGTTCGCATGCTGGGATACAGCCGCGTGTGCCACTTCCAATAGTTAAAGTTACATCGTAAAATGGTGGTTTGCGTTGCAGAGAACGAGATCATTCGAACTGGTTTGACACGGGGAACGCTGATGGGATCGTGTCGCGGTAGCGTTCCACGCGTGAAATTCAAACTTATTTAACGATTCCAGATTTAATCTAAATATTAGGGTATACACACGTGAGGCAAGAACGTTTTAAAGGACTTCGTTGCGTGTCCGCATGAAGAACATTGAGGATCACTCTAGTTCTCGACAGTGAAAGCGTACAATAAAAATTTATTTCGCGGAAAGATTATTATCTCTGTTAAGCAATAACCACGGTACCAAAGTTGAAAGCTCTTGTTGCAAATATCACCGCGTTTAATACTTATTTAATGATCCGCTAAAACTAATCTATCATAGAATTAATTCCCGTCCCTTTTCATTTGCATTTACCCCTTCGATTAAGCACCTGCGATCTGTATGAAACTTATTACTATAACAAACAAAAGAAAAGAATTGCTGTACTTTAGCTACAAGCAAGATTGTAGAAACAGCAAGGAGTTAATTACTTTATTATAAATCTCCAGAAAACATATTTTTTAGCGAGAACAATTAAACTGTAGCGAGAAGATTCACTGTATACAATTAATCGAAGCAATACTCGATGCCCAATATGGCGGTTCTTTTTAATGCATTCGTGTTACGAAAGGGTTAAATAAGTTTGCTGATCCTGCAGTCTGTGCATCTTATCGAAATTCCTCTGACAATTCGATGTGTGTGCCGATGGATGTTGCATAACATTGCCTCCCCCCCCCCATTTTTGGGCCCCTGTGAAACCGAAACCATCGCGTCACGTGGACCGTCGTGGCGACGACGGAACCGAGACGTGTATGTTCGGTGGGAATTAATTAAACGTAATCAATCGTATCGGGGATAATATTTGAGCCGTACATGTAAATACATATTATACATATACGCATTATACATACACAAAGATGAATAGCAGATCGTTCGTGGTACGAACCTATGTGGCGCGATGTTGTTACGTTAAAAACGTGGATATACAGTACGCGAGGATCGCGAACTTTTAGGCTGTTGACCTACATTTGAAAACAAGAAAGAAAGCCGCAAAACTGTAACTCGGACGAGTCGACGCTGTTTCTCAATCTCGAAATCTACATATTTGATTTCTGCAGCGCCTGTCGAATATAACCCGCTCTAAATTAATGGTCATCGTGCAAAGATCTGTACCGAGTTATTGGTATGCTGATTGCAAGTTATATGAAATTGAACGGAGTGTAAAAGAATGTTTGTCATGGATTCACGATTCGTACGAAATTTCGAATCTCTATTTCCTTTTTTCGTTGAATTCCAAAGCGACACACTTCGGGGAGTGTGAAAATACCATGACAAATATAATTTTGCATGTAGAAAAACTTTGGAGCATGTATTCTCGTCACCTTCGATATCTTACGCGAAGGGACTAAAAATTACTAACTCGTGCAATTTCATGTCTTACAAGGAGTAATGTGTAAAAACATTTTAGTGATTCTTCGAAGAGATAGGGGAATAGATACCAAAATGAAACCAAATTGATGTGTTACAGCGCGAGTCCATCAAGCTTTATCGATTTCACGATATTACGAAGTGATCTCTCCCTGGAGTTTTCAGTTCGTTTCCGAAATAAGAAAACAGATGCGTCGGTACCAAACGGAACCGGAATAAAAAAAAAATGAACTGGATCTCTGGCTTTCTGAACTACCTCGTCACATTCCTTAGTCTTTGATAAAAAATAAAACAGAAAAGAACAGAAAAAGGAAAGGACCTTTGAGCAAGGACTAACTTGCCTGAATTTTCCCCGATTGCGGGATCGCTTCTACGTTAAGACGCATTGTAATCGTAGACGAGGTAATCGAACTGGATCGATCGTTTTGGACTCGATAGGAAATGATTACGCGTGCAACAGTTACCCATTTAACCCAAGTCAGGATGTGTACCATATGTAACGTGACGATGATTGTTATGTAAACTGTACATATACGACCGAATAAAATGTGTTTAAAAGAGGGAGGATTCAGTCTTGGTCTACTTAACTCTCGATTACCTATTTATTTATTTCAGAGACTAGCTGCTGGAACATAGTATAAGTAATATCAATTTGTCTATATACTGTGGAGTGGGTCTAACACGAAATCAGTTTAATAATATATGATTATTAGCAATTAGACCGTGGATGTTATGCATTTAAAGCCTACGGAGTTCTATGAAATACAATAAAAGGCAAACTTTTATCACAATCAATGAACTTTCTATTTTATTTTTAACCCAATAAGATACTTGACCCCTTAACTTACGATTCTTTTGACGACTGGCACCCTCAAGAATTACTTTTTTATGGCAAGTATAACATTTCCTCTTAAATCTGAAATGTTGAAGAAATTTAATTAAATTCAAAGGAAACGAATAATTTGCATGTTTATTAAATCTAGTTTGAAATTGTTATCACGTGTGTCTGATTCGATGTTATAAGGCAAGGGGTTAAGAAAGAAATCCTTACATCTGCTCTTGTTTATATGAATTTACAAAATATTATTTTACATAAAAATCGGCAATATATTAATAATCCATTACTTGGTTACTGAACTCGATTTAATGTAATTTTTGTGGGCTCGTTACCGCGTTACGTTGAATAAAAATCTGACTAACGTTCGCGTCGCTATCGGATGCATAACGTGCACAAAATTGATCCTACACGATCGGGCCGAGCCCAGCTCGCTTAAATCAAGCTAATGTTCCAATAATTCGGATCCAGTAGACCTGGTTCGACTAAATGAATGAATGAACGGCCTCGCCTGTGGGTTTATACTACACATCCACACGGCCCTGCATAGTGTAACGCTTATCCGGACGATATTGGGTAGCCTGTAATTGTTGTAACACACTTCGCAGGGTATTACGATCGAGTGCGTGGGTGGACAGATTGGCAGAGTTTACTAAAAGATCGATATCGCCGGAAGAAAATTACAAATAATTTCTTTTTTCCTTTTAAATCGAAGGGCTTTGCAATTTTTTATTCAATTGTCAGTACTTATAGATTTATCGTTGTAGGTGTACAAATTAATTCGTGGCTTTCTTTTCATAGATTTGGTGTCTATTTACAGAAGAACCAAAATACAGTTCAGTCTTGGAAATATTCCCCCCATCACTTTTTACACATTTACGCCATTTTTCGGGCAGCTGGCTAATCCCCTCTCGAAAAAATGACGATGGCTTTGAGTCAATTTCGATATTCGGTGAATTTGTTTAGTAATTTTGCATTGTAATAATTATAAAGTTATTGATAAAGAAACACGTGGTTTCGGATTGTGTGGTCAAATACTTCTTTTGCAATCATCTACGCCAGCACTACATACTTTTTTCAAGGCGTTCACTTCAGTGCGATATATATATGTATACATATATATATAAAAATCTATTAAAAGTTTCAAAGAATATTGTTTATACTACCACTAAGTGTATTAATAAATAGACAATACTTCATTTACATGACTATTTTTTAGGGCTTCATAGTGGCAAGACCCCTTAATAAAAAAAAGCACCATTTCTGTTTCGATTTCCTTTTCCTCTCCCACCTTGCAACAGATCAAAGTTAAAAATTTATGGCAACCGCAACCGTCCAAAAAATTCGCGTCACATGGGTCCAAAGGTATCGTAGACCATCAACACCGTGTCCATCGTTCTCGATGGACATACACCACGAATCACTTACTTAACCGGTAGATCCAACCAGATTCTCGATATCCAGCCACGTTTTTTCCGACGCCTGGTCATCACGCCAGCGCCTCCCAAGTGACCAGCCCGTGTACCCTCCGCTTTCTCGGCGAAACGAGTCGAGCCGCCGGCCAACCCCGCGGCAGTAAGGACGCGTTCGTGCTCACGCGAAGACGCGGACCGACGCCGCGGCCGAGACCACGTCGATGTCGACTACCGACCCTTCCTTGAGGCTTGCACCCTCGTAAATGCACCCTGCCCGGCGACTCGACATCGCTGTCCACCTGGTAGCCAGGTAAGACGACGTCAAGTGATCCTCGAAAGAAACAACAAACGTTTCGTTCTAGTCCAACATCGATCAGAGTTTGGCGACAATCCTCCAAACCAAGAATGGACATATATACCCTATTCCCCAACTTCGTGAAGTGTGATTTGTATACATACACACGCCACATTATTCACCACATCGCCGTGATGGTTTCTATCGAGAATTCTATTCTGATTTTATTTAGTGTTCAATCGGTGTAGCGATATTAATTTCTCGATTGGTATCTTTCGAGGGATTTCATGAACGTTAGAGCCCTTCAAGGCCTCAGGCAATGATTCGAATTTCTTTGGCGCATTGATGGAATTCGCAAAGCGCGCCGACAATGCCGTGACTACTCTCACGAGGCCACACATGAAATTTCATGGGTCATACGTGCTTCTTTTTTTTTTTTTTTTTTTTTTCGGCCTGGTCGGATAACATCTGCCGCGTGAAACCACCAGCGTGATTATGATAACACGTTCCACCTTGAAGCAACGTTAATCGCTCGAAAAACGCACTTCTGGTCGTCGTCGTGGATCGGTATTTTCGTCGAGGGGATCCACGGGACTCTCTGGAGTATGGAGACAGG